CTGCATTCAATTTTCTGTAACTTTCCCCATCTCCCTTGCATTTGGTTTGCCTTCTCTTCTCTGCTATTTGTAAGGCCTCGTTGGACAGCCACTTTGCTTTCTTGCATTTCCTTTTCTTTGGGATGGTTTTTGTTGCTGCCTCCTGTACAATGTTATGAGCCTCGAGCCATAGTTCTTCAGGCACTCTGTCCACCAAATCTAGTTCCTTAAATCTGTTCTTCACTTCCACTGTGTATTCATAAGGGGTTTGCTTTAGGTTATACCCGGTGACTAGCCCGGTGGTTTTTCCTACTCTCTTCAGTTTAAGCTTGAATTTTGCTTTGAGAAGCTGATGATCAGAGCCACAATCAGCTCCAGGTCTTGTTTTTACTGACTGGATAGTGCTTCTCCATCTTTGGCTGCAGAGAACATAATCTAATTTCGGTATTGCCCATCTGGTGATTTCCATTTGTCGAGTTGCCTCTTGTGTTGTTGGAAAGGAGTGCCCCAGGAAGAAGCAGACCATAGAAGGAGAGTAGTGATCCCCTACACACTTTCATACTGGGGAGAAGCCGAGGCAGGGGAGTGGAGAAGGAGGTTAATAGAAGAGAGAGAGAAAAGTGGAACAGGAAAGATGAGAAAGGATCAAATGGCAAGTGTGAGAGATGAGGAGGAGGTCAGGGCCAGGAGAACCTGGGAAATTGGGAACCCGGGGAGAGGACAAAGTGGGAGGAATTTCTGTGAGAAGCGTCGATGCCCGCTGCCTGTATCGATGGGGCTGACTATAAAGGGCTGGATATCAGCAGAGCAACAGGGCTCCTGGAATTCAAGTTTTGGAAACCCTCTTGTTTCAGCCCAGTTGGAAGGAAAGGAGAAAGACTATGTTCTAATTGAAGTAAATTGTTTATTTGATAGTTCTAAAATAAATGTTCAACCATTACAACCATGATCAGAGTCCACATTTGGAGATCTGGGAATTGAAAGGAGCAACTAGAGATTCAACCTGAACCCCACACCACCTAACTGTAGCAGTATCAATCCCACATTTTACCCACTTAAACCAAATAATACCACAAGAGACCTTGTTGAAACACTTGCTGAAATCTACAGCCAGAGAAACAGTCCTGGAACTCTATCAGAAATAGAGGTAAAACTATTCACCACTTGATTCTGAGAACCCCACGCTGAATGACAACACTCTTTTCTACAAATTCACAGCCTACCCAATGATATGTTCTAAAAGCTCTCCTGGTATAGACAACAAGCTGACTGGTGGGTTCATCATGTCTCCTCTTCACTGCCATGTGGACATCTCCACCCTTTCCATTATTAAACTAGACTTTGATAGACGGCCTATGCTTCAGAGTAATGCAAAAGCAGGAATTTCAAACTGTTTGCTTTGTAATCTTGCCATGAGAAGAAGAAATGTACTTAACAGAATATATCCTTCAATGCATTTTGGGATCAAGCAGCTATTTATTTCTAGCTTCCCTACATCTACACATTTCAGGATGGGTTATAATCAGTAGAATCACATTAAACAGTTCCTCAGTTGTAGAATCTATGGATTTCAGATTCTCTTGCCTATAAGATTGTCATCTTCTCTTTTCTGGTCCAACTCTTGCACCATTAACATAAACCTGACACAAAAATTACATGTGGATTTTCTCCCCATTTACTTCCTAAGCTTCAATAATCACCTACTTATT